GAAGGTGCTCAGCGATACATTCAGAGGCAAGCTGCGTTATTCGAAAGTATGGCAAGTGGAAAGCACCTAAATGGGGCAAGCTTCCTAAAGATGATAGAGATCAACTGCTAAGAATTACTAATGTAAGAATCTGCTATCATAGTATTTTTTGGTTTTCTAGACGTAATTTAAATTAGTCCATTAATTTTTTCTGATTTTGATATGTCCTTCTATTTTTAATTCAGAACAGTTTCACTTATGATGGAGGAGAGCATGTGAAACCAGCTTTAATTAAGCAATTAAATTCACAGTATAGAAGTCGACGTTATAATTTTCACATGCTATTCAAAAAATGTGGCTCTAAGGAGGAAGCTCTTGCACGTCGACCAGAATATGTGGAAGAATCAGATTGGATTTACCTTTGCGATTACTATTGTAGTCCAGAATTCAAGGTATGTGTAGCACATACTTGTTAATTTGCTTTATACTTTGCCAATGTCTCTTTTTTATCTAGATCTGAGATAGAATTGACAATTGTAGGCCTTAAGTGAGCGAAATAAGCTGAACAGATCAAAGCAGCAAACTGCCCATACAGCTGGAACAAAATCATTTTTACGTCATAAGGATGACCGGGTCAGTAAACGTGTAAAGTAGTTCATTTATGATATGTGGTTGGGTTATTTAACCTGTTTTGCTAATAGGAATCTAAGGAGGGAATGACAGTTGGACCAATTAAACTTTATGACATGACACATTTTAATCGAAAGAAGAATGCTATGGTTGACGAGACATCAGCTGAAAAACTGGTAAGAAAAATATCACTTTCAACTGAATACCAATGCTTCATGTCTCTTATGCATATATCAATAATAGCAAACCTGTGATTGTAGAGTAAAATGAAGGAGTTACATCTAGAAGCTCAATCTAGTGGTGTAAATCGAACCGAAGAAGACATCTGTATTGAGGTGACTGGGCGTATAACTGGATATGTACATGGTCGTGGACCCTCCAAGGCTAGTTTAATTACACAAAAACTTGCAGAGATAGAAGAATTCAAGAAAAGGGCAGAACAAGCTGAGAAACGATCAGTTGAATTGGAAGTTCAAGTCCAATCTCAACAGCAGCTGATGCAAAGGCTTGAGAATCAACAAGCTGAAATGCAAAACCAGCAGCTTGAAATGCAGGAACTCCTTAAGGCTTTACGAGCAGAATTGCAGTCCAAGAACCAAGGCAATGGAAATGCATCTGGTAGTAATAGCTGGTAATGCATCCTTCTCATACGAATAGTTGAATTACAATACTAATGTGAATTGTTGCTATTCTGATCCTTTAACTTAATGATTCTGGGGCTGATGTTATGCATCATTGTGGACTGTTTTTGATAATAGCATTTTTTGGGGCTGATGTGACCTGTTTTTGGGTAACTTGTGGTCACTGTGGACTGTTTTTTGGTAATAGTTGGTAATAGTATTTTTTGGGGCTGATGTTATGCATCATTGCGGACTATTTTTTGTTATAGTTGTGTAGTTTATGGTTATGGTTATGGCTGATCTGTAGTTTTTGGTAACTTGTGGTCACTGTGGACTGTTTTAGGGTAATAGCTGGTAATAACATTTTTTGGGGCTGATGTTATGCATCATTGTGGACTGTTTTTTGTTATGGTTGTGTAGTTTATGGTTATGGTTGTGGCTGATGTGTAGTTTTTGGTAACTTATGGTCATTGTGGACTGTTTTTTGGTAATAGCTAGTAATAACATTTTTTGGGGCAGATGTTATCCATCATTGTGGACTATTTTTTGTTATGGTTGTGTAGTTTATGGTTATGGTTATGGGACTGATGGTTGTGTAATAACATTTTTTGGGGCTGATGTTATGCATCATTGTTATCTGAACTTATTCTTTGGGAAATATCTAGGTATCATGTATATAGTGCTGTTAGTTTATCAATAGAAAGGTAAAAATCTGATTGTTCATCTGCAATAGTATATTATTTCCAAGTACAAGCGACAGACCATGCATGGATAGCAATCTTCTTTTTGCCTATGTAGTGACTTGAAAGAAATGAATATAATGCAAAGGGGGCGTTTGTGAACTTTGATTGGTTTCACCTGTTTAGATGGTCTTCACTTTCACATTGCGAGGCAAATAGCTTATTCTCTTTGCACAGTTTAATCCTACAGAGGCATCGTTTCCTTCATGATTTATGAAACATAAACTCCTAAAATCAAAGAGGGCTAGTACCTCCTGTATTCACACCTCGTACAATAAGTTGTTTTCTGTGTTTTAATATATAAACAACCAAAAGCATAAAGATTAAACAATAATTACTGTGGGAGTCCAATTTAATTGTTCAATAAGTTGAGCTATTTAAAGAAGAAGAAAGAAAATAAAAAAAAAACTGTTTTAGAGAGCTCTTTAGTTGAGCTATGCACTGTTGTATTTGTATAGATTGGACTGTGATTTCTAACTTCTTGCTGGTGTTGTAATATGTGGGCCCAAATTATATGAGATTCTTAATGAATTGTAATTTTTGTCTTAATAATCTAAGTCTCATTACTTGTTCTTTATTATTGTACTCCTCCCCTTACCTACTTCTTTTACTCTTTTATGACAGATAAATGCTATTCATACTAGCTTTTGGAAGATATCTATGGTTATGGTTGAAGAATGTTTAAGACAAAATTGCCTTTTGCTCATGGAGTGGTTCATTTAGATGTTCTTCAATTTCTTAAACTGTGATTGCTTTTATAAATGTATCTTATGTACAATGATATTTTGGACAAATGTTATTTTTGTAGGCATTAGTTGGGTAATGTACACTTGAATTTGGCATTTGAGAATGCTATATTATTACCTTGTACTCTAATGCAAATACTTTTGGTTATCAATCGTTCATGTTTATTTGTATGGTTTGTTTAAAATCAATGATTTAGCAATGATTACAGGCCAAATTATGACTATTAAGCTATTGAGAAATTATCTAATGACAAAAAAAAGTTATCACAAAATAGAAAATAAAAACTCCTTGTCACAACAGAGACTGTCACTAAATCTAAGCTAAATTTGTGACGACAATTATTGTCAGTAAAATAGTTATATACAATGGCTTTCGGTGCTTTTTAGTGACGACGTTAAGTAGAGCATTTTTGACAAAAGGTCAATTCGTCAATAAAACACTTCCGGATTGTCGTCACTAATGACAACTATTTAGTGACGACATTTTAGGTCGTCACTAAATAGTTGTCATTAGTGACGACAATCTGAAAGTGTTTTATTGACGACTTGATCTTTTGTCAAAAATGCTCTATTTAAGGTCGTCACTAATGAGAACTATTTAGTGTCACTGTTTACTTTTACCGATGGGGATTTAGTGACGACTTTGTGACGATCAAAAAGTCGTCAATAAAAGATATTTGTGACGATATTTGTATGTTCTGTGATGACTTTGTGTTGTCACTGATGAACAATTTTCTTGTAGTGTCTATTATAACAAAATCATGCACAATGAAAACATATAGGTCTCTCATGAACAAGAAAATTTTTCTTGTGCTCTCAATATCGTTCATCACTGATCAAAATAAATACCAAAATGAAGATTTGTACATGGTTGTCATTCTGATGCTTATTTTTTCTTTTAGCATTAAACATTTATTACTTCTATATTTTTTTTGACAAGGGAACCTACAACTGCTACGCGAAAATGCGCACTGAATAAATCCTACTCCGTGCAATAGCCCATCAATCACATGGAGGAATAAGATACACTAGGCAATCTCTATGCGATGAACGGATATCCTAGTAGAAGTTCGAATCCAAGTTAGCAGAAAAACATGACACCAACTCTACTATCTTGACCAAGTCAAGGAACTTATTTTTACTTTTATTTGCTCCTACCATTTATTTGCTCTTGGTTGGGCATGTGTGCGCGTGGTTTATTCCTCCTAGTTCTCTCTCACACGAGCAAAGCCAATCCCAAAAAAACAAGAACTACAAGTAGCCAAATCAAACAATCTTAAACAAGACTAGTTTAAATTTGAAATAGAAGGTTATTTGAGTTTGTTTGAATAGGAGGTTATTTGAAATATTTATTTGAAATTTATGATGTGAGATAAAAAAATGATTAAAAATTATGTGTATGATGTAAGCAAAACAAAAATTTGAATTTTTTTTTTTGATATCCAAACACACCAATCTGTTTTGAATTATATTACGATCCATTATTCTTTTCACTCAAGAATTAATGGATCCTAATATAACTATTGATAGTTTAGTCAACAATGCTACTTCCATAGGCAATGAAACTTAGAACTCCTAATATGTAGTGGCCAGCACTGAGGTACATGTCCAGCTAAAACATGAATGACTTGGTTTATGTAATCTATGTTTGTGATTTGCATATTATTTACCTCGTCAACTTATAATACATTATGAACTTTGAACAAATTATCCTCATTATTACAGCAGATCCAAAAAAGAAAAGAGTTAAATAGATAATAAAAAATTTTTGACCCACAGTTTAATTACTGATATTAGTGGGCAAGCTCGTGCGTAGCACAGTTAGACCCAAACAAGTAATGATAAAAGAAGAAATGCATAAAAGAATAGAAAAGCAAACCCTCACATATACTGACAAGGCAACTATTCAATAATTCAAACAAACTTATCTAGCTATTATACTAATGCCCTGCACAGGAAAATTAGTCTGGTATAAGTCAAAATAGCCTATGTCAGAAAAAAAAAATCATATTGATGCCCCTATTTGACAGAAAAAGTACAAAAAACAAAACCGATGGGGTAGCATATCACAAGCAAGATATTACCACCGTTCTTGCCACACATTTAAAATCCTAAGCAAATAAAAAAACATAATATAAATAAAACTGCTATTCATCAATGCTACAAACGGCCAAAAAAACTTTCGTTTACAACTTTTTCTCACATATAGACGCAAACAGCTGTATTTCCAATAAAACAAACACTTATAATAAAAAAAAAAAAAAACTAAATAACATCACCATTAACAATAAAACAAACTCAGCCATAATCTCCTTACATTAAAAAAAAAAAATCAGAACATTACAGTCAAAATAAAAACTCCACTATCATCATGACACTAAAATCCTCAAACAAAATTACTATATCGGCACGACAATCAGTAGAAGCCACCACGTGAATGTTAGCCTCCTAAGCACCACAAGTAGAGAACACCAAGTGAAGAGTAGACTTGTGAGGAATTTCATAGTCTTCAAGAGTGCGACCATCCTCAAGATGCGTACCTGCAAAAACCAACCTTTGCTCTTTCGGTGGGATTCCTTCCCTAGACAGAATTTCTGCCTTCACGTTCTCAATGGTAGCAGAACCCTCCAACACCAGAGTAATGGTATTCCCTCTCAAAGTTTCCACAGATATTTCCATTCGTCCCCTCCACTCCATCACCAACTGAAGGGTTGACTCCTCCTGGATGTAATAATCTGCAAGAGTCCAGCCATCCTCAAGCTGTTTACCAGCAAAAATCAACCTCTGGTGAGCCGGTGGGATCCCTTTCTTATCTTGAATTTTTGCCTTGACATTGTCGATGGTATCAGAACTCTCCACCTCCAGAGCTATGGTCTTTCCAGTAGGAGTTTTCACGAAAATTTGCATTCCACCACCAAGCCTGAGCACCAGATGACGGCTGGACTCCTTTTGAACATCGTAATCGGCAATGGTCCGCCCATCTTCAAGCTGTTTGCCAGCCAAAAACAGCCTCTGCTGGTCTGGGGGAACACCATCCTTGTCTTGAATCTTAGCCGTGACATTGTCAATAGCGTCAGAGCTTTCAACCTCAAGGCTGATTGGCTTGCTAGTGTCGGAGCTCTCAGCTTTCGCGGAGATCTTCATCTGTTAAGGGGGAAAAATGAAACCAAAAAAGCCAAATCCGATCACATCTAATCAAATTCAAATCCCACAACCCAAAATTGCCAGCACAAATACCAAAAGATAAATAATCGGAATTGCTAGCCAAAAAAAAAACTGTAATCCCTCAACCCGAATCAGTATTAACCATTAGATAATTCTAAGCTGTGATCATATACCTGCTAATCGAATGAGTAATAGTCAGTCACATTTAGCAGCAGCTAATTGATTGTAATAGGTGGATAGTTAGTTGGTTATGACAGTAGTTAATTACTTAGCATGGCTGAGGTGGCAAGGTGGTTAAAGGCGGTTACTTCTTAATTCATTGATAAAATAAGTAACAGCAAGGGTAGGCAATTAAGAAAGCTAGTGAAAAAGAAACATCACTTATCTCCCCTTTATTATTGTAACCTTTCCTATAACTCTCCTTGATTATCAATATAGTACAATTCCTCCTCCCTATTCCTCGACGGACATTCTCGGTTGACTGGAATTGGGAATTGGGATCTTCACTACCTTTGCATCACAAAACAATTTAGATTGTCAAGGAAGGAAAGATTAGCTTTTGATGGCAGAATTTGAGAGAAGATTGATGAAGAAGAAGATGGGTAGATTAACGAGTGAGAAGTGAAGGTGAGAGACGCCCATATGGATATGCTGGTATATTAAAAAGAGGCTAAAGAGGTACTGTTGTCAGCACTGTTGATTGTCAGAGTGTTAATTTCGTCCCCTTTTCATTACGCGAAACCAACACGCAACGCGGTGGTATGTGCAATGGAAACTACTCTGGCGTTGCTTGTGCGGTGGGTGGAAAGTGGGATGAACTTCCTACCTATGAAGAAACACAAATGAAGCATTTCCATTCACGTACACCTTCAACGATCACAGCCCTTAAATCTGTGGTTTTGAACTTTTAGTTTTAGCAAAACAACAATGGAAACTTCGGTTTGCTTCTAAGGTGGAAAGTGGGATGAACTTCCCACCGTAGGCAGAAAGCCAATTAGAAGTACAGTTAACTTCGGTTGCTTCTACGGTGGGTGGAAAGTGGGACGAACTTCCCACGAATGTAGCACACAAATGAAGCATATCCATTCGTGTACACCTTCAACGATCACAGCCCTTAAATCAGTGGTTTTGAAGTTTTAGAAAAACAACAATGGAAACTTTGGGGTTGCTTCTAAGGTGGAAAGTGAGATGAACTTCCCACCGCAGCCAGAAAGTCTATTAGAAGTACGGTTGCTTCTTCGATGGAAAATGGCATGAACTTCCACTTTTTTTCCCAAAAAAAAAAAAAATCACAATTGTGTCGAATTTTCTATTTTTGGAATGGAATATTTAGGGAATCTCCATGAATAGGATCAACCCCTATTCCATGAGATTTACATGAGGTTCCTCTTTAAGTTAAGAAAGTCCCGATTGGGTTTATTTGATCCATGATTTATGTTTTATCTTTCGATTGGAGATTAGGAACAGACGGACTTTTTATGGGACCTATTTTACTAACGGGATTCATCACCACTTTAACCACTTTAGCAGCTTGGCCGGTTACAGGATTCTCAATGATTTAATTTCCTGATGTTAGTGATGTACAGTGCTCAAATAGGATTATTTTCTTCTTGGGACCTTTTACTTTTTTTCATTATGTGGGAGTTAGAATTAATTCCTGTTTATCTACTTCTATCGATGTGGGGATGGAAAGTGGGATGAACTTCCCTTATTTTTTTTTCTAGACATGATAGACCTACTCTTACTCTATACTTGAGGAAGGAGGGACTGAAGAGACCCAAGAAAAATTCAGAAGGAAATGAACCACCACTCCTTGACCTAACTCTCAAGTAGATTGTTGTGTTGCAATTGCACTGATCTTTGCCATAGGCATCAAGGAGAATGGAGTTAGAGGAGAATTTGTCACCATTATGTGTTTGAAGGAAGAAAACTGGAGGTGGGATTTTGTGGGAATCAAGAAATGTTGGAACCGGTTGGGAGGATAGAGTAAGTTTAGTCTGAGCAAGAAAAAGGTTGGGTTTGCTGCTATTGTTGTCGCCACCATAGTATGAAATTGAAGTTAGTTGTTCTTGTAGTTTTGAGGGGTTTTAGGCAAAAAGACAAGGGAAGAGGCTGATGAACGAAGAGTTTCAACTATGAAGCTGTACAATACTTGACCATAGTGGAATAGATGTGCTCTATTGATCTATTTGGCTTGGATTAGATTGGACCGTACTCTTACTGGATGTAATCAAGATTGATCCTTTGTTTCAAAAAGAAAAAGAAATTAAATCAGTGTGATGCTTGATTAGATATTCGACTCAATCGGCAACTTGAGTCATAAGAAGCAAAGATAGGCTTACAAGAGTCGTCCGATTACATACTGTACATCATTGTACTCCCTGGTAAGCAGTGAAAGCGATTTGATTATTTGATTTTCCTCTTTTAAAAAAAAAAAATTCCCTTTTTGTGTAAATAAACTAATTGGTAGTAGATATTTTAACAAATTTGAAATTATAATTTGTAAAAGAGAAGAACATGAAATAGATGTGTTTGCCGGTCTTGTATGTCAAGCTTGTTTTGGTGAAGGCAAAAGAAAGTACTACATAGGGCAAGGGTTAAGAAAAATGCGAATAATAATAAGAGTAAATCTTATATGTACCGACAGTGTATACACTATCATCGTTTGATTCACGACATGTATGCAAAAGTTGAATTTTAAAATCAAATTTTGAAGTGTTGCATACACTGTCATTAATAACAAAAATGGAGTGTCATTAAAATTCTTAAGAATTTGAAATTACACTTAAATTTGGCTATACATCCGTTATAAATTTAGAAAAGGAACATTTCCATGTATTAATTTCAAGTAAAAAGTCACAATTTTCATATACGAATACTAAAAGGTAGAGGTGGCAATTTGGATTGAAATCCATTTATCCATCCATATAATCCATAATTAAATGGATTTGGATTATCCATTTATAGTATTGGTTTTAAATGGTTGACCAAAGTAAAACCATTAAATTAAATGGATTTATATGGATTATCCATAAAAACCATATATATCCATTTACTTAAAAACCAAATAAAATTGAAGTTTTGGTGGATAGAGAATTGGGGATCAACTGTGACCGGATTGAGGTGGGTGAGATGCTCCAAGTTGCTCTACTTTGCACTCAATACCTCCCCGCCCACCGGGCTAAGATGTCGGATGTGGATCGAATGCTTGAAGGAGAGGGCCTAGCAGAAAAATGGGCAGCCTCCCATAATTATACAAACCAAGGCACAAACCTTCCCACCCTCAAGGCTGTTTTGTGTTTTACCATGTATGTATATATCGTTTCATAGTCAGAGATACTGATTGCTCCAATGAGTAAATAATATTTAAATGGATTATAAATGGATAATTGGTTTTTATTTAATCCATTTAGATCCATCCATTTAAATCCATTTATTAAATGGATCTAAATGGATTGGATAAATTTTATCCACCATCCATTAAGTCAAAACCAATTATGAACCATTTATCCGTATTGCCACCTCTACTAAAAGGGAAAAAGGTCCTAGGGATTAAGGTTTTGTACGAATATTACAAGTTCTGAGGTTAGTCCGGTTATCTTGTTTGTTATGGGATCAATCAATGTCGCCTGGCCCATTTCTAATTTCCATGTATAGGTGTCAAGTCCCATTACTAACTACGATGGAATATACACTAAGATTTTATGGTTATAATTTCAAGGTCAAGTTGTCACGGAGAACTTAGCAAATTTGGCCATGGGCAGCATAAACAAAATTTGCTTCTGGATGCTGCATTGCTTTCTTATTTACCAGTGTAATTAGGATAGGACAATTCGTTATTGAATTTATTAGACCCTCTTTGTTATTGTTCTTGTAGCGAGTTCAGAAAAAATTTTTATGTAATGGCATATGAACATGTTAAAATCCTTATTTAACCTAATGCTTGCTAATTTAACAAAATAACGCTAGATAAAAGGATTTGTGTTTGGATAGTAATTTATAATCCTTCTATTATAACAAAATCATGCACGATGAAAACATATAGATCTCTCTTGAACAAGAAAATTTTTCTTGTGCTCTCAATGTCGTTCATCACTGATCAAAATAAATGTCAAAATGAAGATTTGTGCACAACAACGGTCATTCTAAAGCTTATTTTTATTTTTTTTAGGGATAATTTCAAAAACCAACCCTGAGGTTTTTGACAATTTCACTGAGCTCCCCCGATATTTGAAAAATTATACATACCTCCCCTATCATTTAATCCTTTTATTATAACAAAATCATGCACGATGAAAACATATAGATCTCTCTTGAACAAGAAAATTTTGTCGTGCTCTCAATATCATTCATCACTGATCAAAATAAATGCCAAAATGAAGATTTATACATAGCTGTCATTCTAATGCTCATTCTATTTTTATTTTTAGCATTAGAACTTTTTTACTTCCATTTGCTCCCACCATTTATGCAATTACTTCAATAGATATAAAGCCATCCTACAGGTTTAAATAATTTATGCCCACTTGGGCATGTCGCACACCGCGCAGTTTATTCCTCGTAGTTCTCTCTCACACGAGCAAAGCCAATCCGGAAAAACAAGAACTTCAAATAGGCCAATCAAAACATTCTTAAACAAGACTAGGTTTATTCCTCGTAGTTCTCTCTGTACATGAGTAAAGCCCATCCCTAAAAGAAAGAACTACAAATAAACAGCCCAATCAAAACATCAGTAGAAGCCACTCTTGGTACAAAAGACCAGCACACCAAACAGAATTCCAAAATCAAGATAAGTGTTCAACACAACAATCAGTAGAAGCCACCATGCGAATGTTAGCCTCCTAAGCACCAAAAGTAGAGAACACCAAGTGAAGAGTAGACTTGTGAGGAATTTTGTATTCTGCAAGAGTGCGACCATCCTCAAGAGGCGTACCAGCAAAAACCAACCTTTGCTGCTTCGGTGGGATTCCTTTCCTACACTGAATTTCTTCCTTCACGTACTTGATGGTAGCAGAACTCGTCAACACCAGAGTAATGGTACTCCCTTCCGAAGTCGTCACGAATATTTCCATTCCTCCTCCCCTCAACCTCATCACCAAGTGAAGGGTTGACTCCTTCTGGATGTAATAATCTGCAAGAGTCCGGCCATCCTCAAGCTGTTTACCAGCAAAACTCAGCCTCTGGTCAGCCAGTGGGATCCCTTCCTTATCTTGAATTTTCGCCTTGACAGTGCCAATGGTATCAGAACTGTCCACCTCCAGAGTTATGGCCTTTCCAGTAGAAGTTTCCACGAAAATTTGCATTGCACCGCCAAGCCTGAGCACCAAATGAGGGATAGACTCCTTTTGAATATTGTAATCGGCAATGGTCCGCCCATCTTCAAGTCGTTTGCCAGCAAAAAACAACGTCTGCTGGTCTGGGGGAATACCTTCCTTGTCTTGAATCTTAGCCTTGACATTGTCAATAGTGTCAGAGCTATCAACCTCAAAACTAATTCGCTTACCAGTGTCAAAGCTCTGAACCTCGACTGTCAGACCTTTCACGAAGATCGGCATCTGTTAGGGGGAAAAAACCAAAAAAAAAAAAAAAAAAAAGCCAAATTTGATCAGATCTAATCAAATTCATATCCCTCAACCCAAAATTGCCAGCACAAATACCAAAAGATAAATAATCGGAATTGCTAGCCAAACAAAAAACTGTAATTCCTCAACCCCAATCAATTTTAACCATTAGATAATGCTAAGCTGTGATCATATACCCGCTAATTAAGAAAGCAAACATCACTTATCTCCCCTTTATTATTGTAGCCTTTCCTGTAACTCTCCTTGATTATCAATATAGTACAATTCTTCCTCCCTATTCCTCGACGGACATTCTCCTTGGACTGGAATTGGGAATTGGGATCTTCACTACCTTCGCATCACAAAACAATATAGATTGTCAAAGAAGGAAGGATTACCTTTTGATGGCAGAATTTGAGAGAAGATTGATGAAGAAGAAGATGGGTAGATTAACGAGTGAGAAATGAAGGTAAGAGACGCCCATATCTTACCTTGCATATATAGATCAGATAGATCAGAAAAACAGAAGACTTCTACTTCCACATTAAGCAAGTGGTTTTGTCAAGTGGTTTTGTTTGGGGAGGGAGGCTACCGCGAACGATTTTTCTAGAACGTGGCAGAATTTTCAGAGAGGATTGATGAAGAATATTCAAATCAAAAGTGGCTACAGTATTTTCTTTCTAACATTCCGCCGTTGACCTCATAGTGTATGTGTTAAAGGTTAGTGAGAGACGCCATATACTAGTATATTAAAAAGAGGCTTAAGAGGTATTGTGGTCAGCGCTGTCGATTGCCACAGTGTTAATTTCGTCCCCTTCTGATAAAGCAAAGCAAAACGGACCACGTTTTGAACTTTAAAGAGGTTTCTGTGGCTTTGAACTTTAACAGAACGCCAATTAATACTTCGGAACCACATTTTGTCGTGACGGGCAAGTTTTATTATGATTATTGAGCAATGTGTCTTCTTTTTTTTTGGGATAATTTAAGAAAGCTCCTCTAAGGTTTCTGACAATATCACTGAACTCTCTTAAAGTTTAAAAAATTACACCCACCTTATATGATTTGATAGTTTTAGTAACAAAATCTTAAAATAATAATGACTTAGTCAAATTTTTAAATGAATACCCAAAACAATGTTTTTAAACTCAGACCGGTGAGCGAACTGGAGAGGGTCCGGTTCTCGATCCGACCGGCCGGTTCACCGGTTTTCTGGTTTTTTTTTTTTTATGCAACTTGAGTGTTAAGTATTTCACAGGTTTTCATTCTACACTTGAACTTGACACTTAATGTACAATTTAACATGGTTAGTGATAACTTAAGTTTTTAAAATGCATTTACCAACATAACTAAATTTAAGTTGAGATAATAACAAATTTCTTAAAAGTTATACATAAACCCTGGAATGATAAACATAATTAAAATATCATAACTCACCACAAGTTTTCATAAATTCATTACAAACATGAATAGATATAATCCAAATGTTCACCAATTATCACAAATAAAAACACAAAAATAAATAAAATAAATATTGAAATTCTTTTACAATTCTTAAAAAAGTCCATAAAAGAGTCTAACTCATATTCAAGACAAACCATTTGAATAACAAACTTCCATCAATGGTATGATAAGCAGCAACACCACATTCACAATTTCATCAACTTAACCTGAAAAAATTAAAATTTTATTATAAAAATATAAACCTAATTGGTCAAACTAAAAAAAAATCAAAAAATTTTAAAAAACAAAGATACAACTAAACACATAAAAAATTAATTGCTACTAAACATATGGTCCTGAGGTTACTATTTAGGAATTTACCAAGACATACAAACATGTGGTCAAATTTGGCACTTTTTTGTTTTAAGCTTTTGTTTGACAACTTTCACAAATCAACTTTAACATGTCTTTAATTTTGTTGCTTTAGTGAAACCTATAAAATTCAAGATGAATGAGCATTCAGTAGACTAATTACTTCAGCATAGAAAAAGCAATAAAAACACAATAAATAGCATAGAAAAAACAGAACAATCATTGATACAAAATTTATTAATTTGAAACTTCATCCATGTCTAATTTATTTAATTTGATACTTCATCCAAAAAAATAGCTTCTCCAAATATGATTGCAAATTAATTAATGATTCATAATTTCATCCTTAATTAATCAAATAAAAATAAAACAAAACTTAGGGGAAACAGATGAAAATTGGGGGAAAAAAGAAGAAAATACAAAAAAAAATCGGCTAAAGATAATAATATAGAAAACAAAAACCTTGAAAAAGGAAAAAGTAAACTTACTAAGATGATGGAAAACAGGAAAAGCTCTTGAGTCTCATATATCTTGTGAAAGTTGAAATTTCCAACTTGTCTGCAATCTGCAAAAGATGATAGTGATAAAGGTGAAGGCTTGAGAAAATTTTGTTGTGGATATTTGGGTTTGAAAGGGTTAAGAAGAAAAAATTGAAAAAAAAATTCAAGAGGAGAACTGGAGCCATTGGCCGCCTGAAGCCGAGAAAGTGATAGATTGAAACTTGAAAGAAAAGTGCGTCGGCTGTTTCTTTTTTTAATATTAGGATTTGATTTTTTTAATCTATATTTTAGTCAAGTTAAGTAGAATTTTCAACAAAATGAGTTGTGGTCTAGTGGTGAAGAGTGCTGTATGGGAACCCTGAGACTGAGGTTCAAACTTCCGTAGCTACATTCTTGGCATTTTTGTTTGAAAATTAGAAAACCGCCGGGTTACGGTTCGTGCGGTTTTTAACGGTTCATACGGTTCAACCGATTTCTAGCAATTTTTTATTAACTTTCGGGTTTAATACTGGACCGGACAGGTGGTATGTTCGGTTCGCCGTCCAACCAGTCGAACCGGCCGATCCGATCCAGTTCTGAAAACATTGCCGGGAGCTGGATGTCTTTGAACGTCTCCTGAGGGGCCAACATGCTGCCGCCAGACATTTCACCGCCGGACATGTGTCCACTGTAAAATTTAGAGCTCAAGTGGACCCCTTCGTCCAAAACAATGGGTTGGTACAAACCACTGTACCATTTATTAAGTATTATGTTGTTTTAAAACAATGGATTGGTGGTACAAACTAGGGATGTAAGCGAGTCGAACTATTATCGAGTAGTTTGGTCAACGACTTGGTTTGAACTTGGTCAAATCGAGTTCGAGCTGAGTTTCGAGCTACTCGAATATACTTTCGAGTCAAGTTCGAGTCAGAAATTTGCGGCTTGATGTAAGCGAGTCGAGTTACTATCGAATAGCTTGCGAGTAGCTCGGTCAACGATTTGGCTTGAACTCGATTTGGCTTGATCGAGTTCAAGCCGAGTCTCGAGCTACTCGAATATACTTTCGAATCTAGTTCGAGTCAGGAATTTGCGGCTTGTGGCTCGACGAGCTACTCGTCGAGCCGGATATATTTAATTAATATATATAATTTAAATAATATATATGTATTATAATTATAAAATGATCGTTATGAGTATAATTTATACTGAATTTACAAGTGTATATTTTTCGAGTCGAGTCAAAAGTTTGATTAGACTCGACTTGATAAGCCTTGACCTTTGATCGAACCTTATCAAGTCGAGTCTCGAGTTTAAAAGAATTTTCTCGAGTCAACCCTCGAGTTGCGATTTTTAGGCTTGATCAAGACTCGAGCTCGAGTCTAGTTACATATAGGTTGAGTCAAGTTCGAGTATAGCAATACTCGACCTCGACTTGGTTCGAATACATCCTTTGTACAAACCAATATACCATTCTACAGAATTATTGTTGGTTTAAAACAGGGATAACCTTTTTATATGTCACGAGTGTATAATTATATTAACAGATTTAGATTATGTCACACAGTATGACTTTAAATTTAAAATTCAACTCATGCATATATAATTTACGTCTAAAAACATTCAAAACTCCTAGCCTAAAAAAATCATTGTTGGTATATAAAAAGCTAATTCTTTAAATAATATTGCAAGAAGAAGCAATTGCACAACAGCCTCGACAATGAAAGTATCATCAGCCCCTATCCTGGGAAAAATTTCAAGCAACAAGCCAATAACATTGTAGCGTGCAGCAGTTTCTTCCTATAATTGTGCTCAGCCGGCCAGGTCCTGGAGGAGCCAATGCCAATGCCCCCTAATAATTGCTCCTCATTTGCAAGTGATAAAATCTGGTCAAGAACATAGTGTCATATCGTCTTCTTGAAGAGGTTAGCAGCCGAATCAGAGGGTACGTGCACATCCTCAATCGAAAGAGACTTTTTAGGCGCTATAAGAAGCGAAGTGGCCAACTCAATTATCTTCCCTTTCATTCCATAACGGCTTACGAAATCAGAAAACTCAGCGGCAGATGAACAGTTGACAAGCCTACGAACAATCTTTAACACTCCAAGCATGCAATCTAAGTCCACAAATATCAAAAAGCAGACTAGTGTATAAACTGATTCTTCATGAATATTCCAAGAAAACCTTCTGCTAAGGACTCAAGAGCCAACTCAAGCGGCAGGAAACCATCTTTGGTTCGCGCATCTGCCTTTGCCCCATATGTAAGGAATAACTATGTCATTGACGAAGATAATTCGATTGCTGCCAAATGCAACGGATAGAGGTGACCGTTATTTATTTTGTTTTTTGGTTGACAAGGAAATTCATAGGCGTTACCCCAGAGTACACGCTGGGTAAATTCCATCCATACAATAACTGGTTAACCACACAGAGAGGTAAGACGCACTAGACAAATCCTGAACGACGAGAGCTGTCCCGGGTTGACGAGAGGAAGTAAGACTACGGCTGTTGAGTCCACAAAAATTTCTCCCTTGGGAGCTGCTGTTCAGAAAGGCGATTTTGACGTCCCCAAGAAATACTCCTATCGGTTCAAGGAGTTGGAAATGGAAGGGATACAATGAGAGCTAAGAATAGGGGTTAAAATTAGGGTAACCTTCGGTACTCAACAAGGATAGTATTGATATTACATAATGATGAGTGCTTATATTAGGAGTGGTGATTGATTTTCTGCATTGCAGAATTGACAAATAGTAGGGAAAAAATTAAAAATGGGAAATTGCTATCAAAACTAATTGCAGAGCTATTTCCTAGGTACATCATATTTATGCACAACAGGCAAAGCTAAAGACGGAAAATAACTGAAACTTTCACAACTTTCACAAACTTTCATGATTATATTACAGTATACATGATACAGTACATGAATTCAACAAATCTCTTATACTAACAAATATTACAGGACAAAAATTATGCCAAAAATCTATATAAAGAACACATCAAACAGCATTTAACATGCTGTGTTTCCAACTAACTGATCTTCACACAATCAAGGCAAATCATAATTGTTCTTTTTATTATATGGTTCTTTGCCAGAGATAATTTGGTCCACAAAATGACACTGGCTGCTAAGATTCATTACATTTCAAGAAGAAGTTGAGGGGGTATAGGAAGGATTGAACACTTTCTGTTCGGCACAGCTGAGTACTTCATTAGGTCCTGCCTCTTCTCGCCCAACTCCCAAAAGGTCAAGGTAGTTTAGATAATGGGAGATAATGATATTCATACTGTCAATATCACCTTGACCACAAACAGAATCTCCATAGAGGAGGTTCATGGTTGTCCCAAAACCAGGAACTCGTTTTGCTTCAGTATCATTTTTGTTGGGCTTCCAGTTGCCAACAAATGCATCATGAGCAGAAGGTAGTCCCTTTTTCTGGGGTTTCATCCATTGATATATTGCAGCCTGGAAAGCCAGAGTCGCGTTTTGTTCAATGTATTCAGGATGGTTCAAAAGATCTTGCTTGAGGCCTTCACCAACAGGCCCGTAGTTGTAGTTCCTAAAACAACATACACGGATACAGTCAGAAAAATATGCATGACTGAAGCAATTACTAAAATGTAATAGAGTTAAAATACCGAAACCCTGTCCCCCCCCCCCCCCCCCCAGCCGGCCCAAAAAAAAAACCCGCACAAAAAAAAAAATTCTAAGCAGATGCATGGAGCTCTTCAATATCTATAATCATCATGCGAGCATTACAGACTTTACAATTCTAAGAAACAGGGACAGTTAGAATGGAAAACAAATTAACTTTGTGTAGTCTTTGTTAAGAAAGCTTGATTCAGTAGGAATCAGTGAACTAAATTATGGCAGAATGATAATTAAGGACTATTTCCATAAAACAATCAACAAAGCTTGCAGAAAGCAAATGGCATTTAGTTCCACATCCAACTCAAATTTCGAGGCATAAATAGCATATCTAAATCACTGGTACTGCTTTTTTCTTCCCTCTCACTGTCTCTCTCTCTCTCTGATCATGTCAAAGACCTCAGTTAGCCTGTAAAAAGTAACAATCAAGTAAGGGAAGAAAGAACACCACCACATACCAATAAAGAGGTAGTGCACCACGACCATGGTAACTAACTCCAGGAGCACATGGATAGGTTAACTTGTAGTAATCATCACAGTATATTGAGTTAGGACTCATTTCCTTGTTGTAGCATAGACCCCAAGCCAAGGGTCCCCCTGTGGCTACCCCATAACCACCTGCACCATTATCAGAAGCATCAACTTTAAATGGACTTAAGCAAGAAAATGAAGTCAATGCAACCAAAAATCAAAGAAAATTTCTCCCTCGTGAGCAACTTCCTCAAATCTCAATTTCAGCTTCAAGGCACCATTTAGTTGGATGCTGATTAGAGAAATTTATCTCATAAGTTTAGATAGAAAAAGCTATTTGCCTAAGGATTTATTTGTTTCACCACACTTCCAACCTTATTCATTGTTACACATTCTCTAAGTCTGTCTTCACAGATACTAGCAAACAGTAGGGATGGTAAAAAAAATATCCACATAACAGTAGGACTAAGTTATAATCGTATTATAGATAGAGATACTAATCATATATACACACATGGTACATGCAAAGAAGGTGAGATATAGGAGCATTAAATGCAAGAATAGGTGAGCAATGAAAGTGTTAAAAAATGGGCAATGCTAACTAAATTTTGCACTTCCTTTTTTTAATTTTTTTCTTTTTTAGAAAGGGAGAGGATGGGATTTAAGAAATGGGGATGGAAAGAAAGAAGAGAGAGAAAAGGGGGGGGATTTGAACCCAGAACCTCTGATTCCTAGGTACTAAATCTTACAATTCTAAAAGAAATATATTTCCTTGAAAGTCACGACACATTACATATATAGGAGAATGAAAATCAAGAATTAAAAAATTTTCTTGTGCTCAGTAACAATGCTGAAAATAACACTTGCACAAAATATGGTAACACTTGCATACTCTGTTTTCATGCTACTTTACGAATCTGAAATGTACCTGAATAAGAAATGACTAAACTAATCTGAGATTCTTTTTTATTTTGACTAGAACTCGTTCAAAAGAATGTTCACAGCAAAAAGAAAACTGCAGTGATTGTACCATCACATCCATCTTTTGCTTATATGCAAAGTAAACAACAGAAGTAAACCTCCTATATGAAACTTTTAGATCCAAATAAATCAGTTCAAAACAGCACTAAATCACAAACTATCATGTCAGGTCTCAATTCTGGCCCCAAAAAAGAAAGAACTTCTATCCATACACTCAATCTAGGTAATACGCATTCCAAGATCAGTAAGAATCTGAGTAATTCCACACGATACACTAAGTCTCTTAAACTAATAATTCTAGCCACAAATCTACATCCACCGACAAACATGTCCAACCTAGACAGCATCCCTACAAGCTCGTATATTGTTCTTTGAAAGAAATGGAATCAATGAAATGAAAAATGGAGTCATATTCTCTAAATTAAGAGTACAGTTTCTAAAAAACACAATTTTCCATTTCCAAATCTCACGAAGAACCACACGCAACTCAACTAAATTAGGAAAAACACGCTACAATTCCATATCATCTCCTTACCTTTTCAAACATAATATTATATTTGATATTAAGTACTAGCCATCCATTTTTGAATTACCCCTTCGAAACCGACAACCGAAAAAAAAAGGTAAAATGGATGGTAAATTCTTATGCATATATATAAAAACAAACAAAACTTTAAATCCATCAAAAAAAGGGAGAGGAACTTACAAGAAGTTTTGGCACCGACATGACCAAGAAATGCGGAAAGCTCCAACATCTGGGCAGTCTTGTTTCCAGTGGTACCAAATCCCAAAGGCTGGAAAAGAGCAGCTGCGTGAATGAAAGATTCGTAATCCCAAAACCCAACGGCATGAGCCACTGGCGAATTCCTCTTGGAGAACAGATTCTCAAACTGGTAAGTCTGAAAATAGTCCGAGATCGTCAGATTACAACAGTACACAGATGGGGTCGAACATTCCCACCCCTTTGTACAGTACTTCTTCCCTTTCACAACCTTCACCACTTTCGAAGGCACCGCTGACTCGTCGGCGTAAGAAATCGCCGGTGAAAGAATCAAAATTAGACAAATGACCGGCAAAAACATCTTGAAATTCAACATTTCTTTACAATGCAGCAGGGATTAAAACGGTGGGTTTTTTCTGCTGGGAATTTTGGAGCTATAAAATTGAAGAAATGAAAGGGAAAGAGGAGCTGGAATGATGGGGGAAAGGGGCCACGGACTATAGAGAGTGTGATGCAAGGTAAGGAAAGCGGTGGTTGGATGCGGTGTCGTTTTCTGGGGATGGAGAAATGGACGGTCGAGATGGGGTTTGGGTTGGGGAATGGAGGGTGGATGGTGAACGTGTACCAGGCTGGATTTGGAATCAAGCAAAGGGGAGACGGTGAGGGAGTGACCCACTAACTAATTAATTGCATTCCACCGACAGCTCCTGAGTCCTGAGGACTCTTCAGACTGGGGGATTGTTTGCGTTTTGGTTTTATGGATCCGGATATGGGAATCCGGAGTCAGAGTTGTGCCGACAAATGAAAGTCTTGAACGGACCAGGGGCCTTGCCAGACAATCGTTTCAGAAACTTTTGACGGCCCAGATGAATTGAGATAAATCAACGGAAGAAAACACAGCCGTGGCAAGTGAAATGAGAAATTGTAGCACGGCCACGTTTTATTGAGTAGCAATTAAAAAATAAAAATTATGGAAACGGATGTAGCATTATCGTCAAACGGCGTTTGCATAGTATAAATTTATCCCACCCAAATTATTAATAAAAAGCTCCTTTTATCAGTTTCGTCGTTTCCCAAAATCACTCCACAAGACCGACACTACTATGAGATGGTAGAGAGGATAACTCCAAAAAACCTCATTGGATCTTAGCCGGACGCTTATCTCATCAAGAAACAACTACCTGAATTCCTCCTAAAGAAGACCCATGGTGTTTTTTAGGGAGAGAAACTGCATCATCCAGGGTTTGGGGTCTTGCAATAGTTGGAGATTTCTGATTTAATAGAGGTAAGAAACTCTATTTTCTTGAAATGATCAAACAAATTTATCTTTTGTCAGATATACCAGGCTATTAACTAAAAATATTTACACACTATTTAGACAATATACACACTATTTAATATGGAATTTTGAGAAAAAAAAAAAGAGAGAAGATGGAATGCCCAATGAATTGCGCATGATTTGGACATAGGTTTAGTGAATGTCTGCTATTTGAAAAAAAGATGACTAGTAGTTAGGGTTAAGTTACATGTGATTTAGTTAGGTTTATAATTTATTGCTTTATTAGGACAACAGAAATTTCAACGCATACAAAAGAAATTCTTGTGGTAAGTATAAGAGAATCATGTGAAAAGTGAAAAAAGATTTTATTAGTTGCTTACATCTTTTCTTTGCCTATTTTGAGAATACGATGACCGTAAATACTCACAGTTAAGCAGAAATTCTTATTTGTGAGATATTCTTTCTTTTGTTGAAAATTTCATCCTACACAAGTTTCTCATTATCATATTTTGTTCACATGAAAGTTAAAATTTTATGATGGAATACTCAGTTAATTGGGCATGAATGGAATATAGGTGACCATGAATGTCTCTTATTTGAAATCACAAAATTGATTGATAGTTAGGCTTAAGTTACAACTTGTGCAATTGAACTTACAATTTGTTGATTTGTTTGGACAATAGAAATTTCAATGCATATAAAAGAAATTCTTGTAGGGAGTATAAGAACATCATGTGAAATGTGACAAAAGAGTTTATTAGTTGCTTGTTTTTTTTCTCTACCTATTCGGAGAATGCAATAACTGTCAATATTCACAGTTAAGCAGCAATTCTTCTGTTATTGCTATTAATTTGTTATATGATTTTGGATTGAGAGTTTAGGAAAATAAATTTGGCATGACATATTGTTATGTTGTTTGTATCAATAGATATTTTTCTTGTACACATTAGTTATTATAGTTTATAAACCCAAAGCATGGTAAAAAAACAAAGTGTTCTTTCACTTGTGTACAGTGTACATGGTAAAGAACAAACTCTAAGTATGGTTATTCAATTGATAGTTTTCTGGTTATCTAGGAGTTCCTTTCATTAGGTAAGGTTTGTTGTGCTTGCTTATATTCTTTTAATTTGCATTTTCACTTGTGCCTTTGAAAAAATATACTACTCGGTTTAGTATATGATGTGTGGGATTTGTTGAATTATGATTTTTATAGACTTTATATGAGCTGTAATTTTAGTTCAATTGACTAGAAACTTGGTCCTCTTACACTTATAAGACGAACTTTACTTGACCTCTAATTTGAGAAAATTGTTCATGCAGTAAATAGATCTCCTAATAAATGCGGGATTTGGCAAATTTTACAGCATAACAGGTAAGAATCTTAACTTTTAGTATGTGTAAATGATCATCCAATAAGTAATAGGACACCATCAGGGTTGTAAGACAATTTGATGTTTCATATACTATGGAGTATGATGATATCTATCATTTGGAAGGATGCGAGGTAGGGAAGGTTGTCAGATCAATTATTCCTAAATAGTGTAATATTTTTTGAACATTTAGTAATTTTATGTAAACTTTTTGTACATCTTTACAACAAATTATGTCCCTGTTATTAAGTTTTACAAGTAGTTCACGTAGAGTTGCACATTGTTTAAAAAATATTACATTGATCCAAATGGAGATAAATAAATGTGACTATGGATTCTCAGAATGACAACAATAGTTTCAGTATGTGGTTCTAACTGTATAGAACTTGCTCTTTCATTTTGTCAAAATGAAGTAATGTAAATAGTTTTTTTGTGCATTCTAGTCGAATAGAGTTTGTAAGTTATTAATATTGCAATCCTCACTGTCTAGATTATTGCTTGTAAATGGTGTTTTGGAAAGATATGGATTGCAATACCCTATTGTCAAGTAGAAATGGCTTGCTGATGCTATATAATAATGAATTCCTATCATCTTTGAACTACTTTCAGATTATATTTTTGTTTACTTAGCAATTGCAATTTCGGCAATGGCATAATATTCATTATTGTTGTTAACATCATTGGAAACTTTATGACTATTTAATATTAGGGAGTGGGGTAGGAATAGTTGTTAGATCAACCGTCTCTAAATAGTGTAACATTTTTTAAACATTTTGTAACTCTATGTAAATTTCTTGTACATCCTCACAATAGAAGTGTGATAATACACTTCTGTGAAGAAACCTCAGGGGAGGTTTTTGAAATTATCTCTTATGTTTTTGTCATGTTATTTATTTTAGTGCAGTTTGAAATAATATATTATGGGATGTCGGGGAACCAAGAAAATGAATCGTACAAAAGATAAAGGTAAGCAGGTTGAGGAACATTATGATAATAATCCAGTAAAGTCAGTTAAGCCACCAAATGATTTCATTGCATACAAGTATATATGACTTTTTAGAAGGACTATTGTCTACATTTGGAGCTTTTAATTAGTTAAAAAACTCATGATAAAATCAAAAGTCTATGTGATGGATCTAATCATATTAAATCATGCTAGGATTGACTTTGCACGCAAGCAAAAAGCAAAGGGAAAGGCATTAACAATGAAGGAGCTAAACATAACTGCTAGAAATACATGGAACAAACTGAGTGATGAGGAGAAACTTGTATGGAAGAATGAAGCAGTTATGAAGAAATGTAAAGAGCTGATGAAAATCTATAAGGAGTCTATAGCAGACAGGGGAGAAAGCATAGAGAGTGATGTAGCGAAACAAGTAAAGACGTAGCATCGAATTTTATTTTGCATAAAAAAAGTGATTTAAAAGTTTCAAAGTGCAAGTGCAATTATTCGGCAGTTATTTTTTATTTTTTATAAATTTTTTTTTGTAGACATATAGGTTTAGGTGTACACTAGCTAAATTCTTAAAATTTGTGGGTCGTATTGATGGGACAAAAATAGCTGCAATAAAAGAAATAGGTTTTGATGGATTATTGGAGATCCAATCCCACGTCTTTCCAAAGGATATATGCACGTGATTGGTGAATAATTTCAATCCAACTCACTTATATATACAACTTGAAGATAGACGTGTACTAGCTGTAATATCAGAGGATATAGTAAAGACTCTTGAAATTTGTAGTGAGGGGCCAGTGCCGGTTAAAGATACTAGAAATGATGGAATTAAGAGCAATCTATATTATTCTAGGAAGAAGAAGTATAATTGGCATGGTATAGTAGATGAGCTAATATCTATGGAGATCGGGAATGAATTCAAGAGGTTGTTTGTTAGTTTTGCATATGGATGCTTGCTTGCTCCAACAATACGAGCTGAAATTAAAGCCAATTTATGAGAGAGTTTACAATCAATTTCGAAAACAGCTAAATTTAATTGAGTTGAGTTCGTTAGAGCTGATTTATGCAAAAAATTATTGAACATGCAGAGCAATACCCACAAAAATGTTAGAGGTTGCATCCTATTTTTACTAGTGAGTTAAGAAATCTCAATTATTGGATGATCCTACCTTATATTTGTTCATTATATCTAACAAGGATAAGTTGTTATCATTTTGCAACTACATTATTATGATCGAGTAAGTATACTCAATCATTATATTTGTAGAACCTGCCTTATAACAAAAGTAAGGACTGATACCAACATAATTGAAAGAGAAACATTAGAATTGGGTGGTCTTGAAAAATTTGGCAAAGAAAAGCTAGTAAGTATTGTTGAAACAATGATATTTTTGAAATTTGGATTAGTAAGACATTATATTATACGGCTAACTATTTTGTCAAATTTACAATATACTTTTTTTTATACAAAGGTAGGGTCAAACAAAACGGACAGAGAAGAAAATGATGAAGAGGAAGCTACTGAACTTGCACCGGATGTGATTGGCCAGATGGTGAATAATGGACCTGGAGAAATTGCTGTAAGATAACAAATTAAATCTAATACGAATGCAAATATGTCCCAAGTTGTACCAATATGAGGATTAATTGTATTTATTTTTTATATTCGAGTTCATCTAGCCACTCTATATGCAAAAGCAGCAAATACGAGCGGATAGCAATTGAGTGTCAACAAAGTGTAATGAATATATCAAGTATACTTTACTCGTAACGTAGTGTTATGCCATCATCTTCCCAACCAGCCGTTAGATCCACAAGGAAACAGACAAAAAAGCGAATGATCCATGACGAGAAGGCAAATGTTGTTATAGAGTCTGATACAGACAAATTTGAATATAAAAACAACCAAGATGAGACATGTGTTGGAGATAGGAATGATGATTTTGGTGAAGCAAATGAGGCCGGAGATAAAGAAGGAAAAGATGATGCCAAGGCAATTGCGGCAGTATTACATCAGTTGTGGCAGCCCATCCCCAACATCTTGTAAAAGTTTATAGTAGAATTGTAGAAGTTTATTGCTTGGATGTAGACATAACTTCCCCATCAGGAGCTGTAGTAGAGAAACATTTGCTATGTGCTACAACACAATGGAAGGGTCAGTCTATATATATAAAAAAAAAGAGTCCAAAGGTAAGTTATATATGGTATGGTTGAAATTAATATTTCATTTGTTATTGCACCTGTTGTAATGATCAGAGTCCATATCATTTATAACATACATTACTTGCCTTCGGACTCTTTTTTTTATATCTAAACTGACCCTTTCATTGTGTTGCAGCACATAGCGAATGTTTCTCTACTGCAACTCCTGATGGGGAAGTTATGTCGGCATCCAAGCAATAAACTTCTACAATTCTGCTATCTTCAACATCTTTGTTGGGGATGGGCTACCGCAATTGCCTTGACATCATCTTTTTCTTCTTTATTTTCGGCTTCATTTGCTTCACCAAAATCATCATTCCTATCTCCAACACATGTCTCGTCTTGATTGTTTTCATATTCAAATTTGTCTGTATTGGACTCTATAACAACCTTTGCCTTCTCGTCATGGATCATTCGCTTTTTTGCCTGATTCCTTGTGGATCTAACGGCTGGCTGGGAAGATGATGGCATAGCACCATGTTGCGAGCAAAGTATACTTGATATATTCATTACACTTTGTTGACACTCAATTGCTATCCGCTCGCATTTGCTGCTTTTGCATATAGAGTGGTTAGATGAATCTGAATATAAAAAAAAAATACAATTAATCCTCATATTGGTATAACTTGGGACATATTTGCATTCGTATTAGATTTAATTGGTTATCTTACAGCAATTTCTCCAGGTCCATTATTCACCATCTAGCTAATCACATCCGGTGCAAGTTCAGTAGCTTCCTCTTCATCATTTTCTTCTCTGTCCGTTTTGTTTGACCCTACCTTTGTATAAAAAAAAAGTATATTGTAAGTTTGACAAAGTAGTTAGCCGTATAATATAATGTCTTACTAACCCAAATTTCAAAAATATCATTGTTTCAACAATACTTACTAGCTTTTCTTTGCCAATTTTTTTAAGACCACCCAATTCTAATGTTTCTCTTTCCATTATGTTGGTATCTGTCCATACTTTTGTTATAGGGTAGGTCCTATGAACACAATGGGATCATCTAATAATTGAGATTTCTTAACTTACCAGTAAAAATAGGATGCAACCTGCAACATTTTTGTGGGCATTACTCTACATATTCAATAATTTTTTGCATAAATTAGCTCTAACAAACTCAACCCAATTAAATTTAGTTATTTTCGAAGTTGATTGTAAATTCTCTCATAAATTGGCTTTAATTTCAACTGGTATTGTTGGAGCAAGCAAGCATCCATATGCAAAAATAACAAACAACCTCTTGAATTCATTCCCGATCTCCATAGATATTAGCTCACTACTATACCATGCCAATTATACTTCTTCTTCCTAGAATAATGTGGATCGCTCTCAATTCCATCATCTCTAGTATCTTTAACCAGCACTGGCCCCTCACCAGAAATTTCAAGAGTCTTTACTATATCCTCTGATGTTACAGCCAGTACACGTCTACCTTCAAATTGTATATATGAGTGAGTTGGATTGAAATTATTCACCAATCACATGCATATATTCTTTGGAAGGATGTGGCATTGGATTTTCAATAATCTAATAAAACCTATTTCTTTTATTGCAACTATTTTCGCCCCATCAATATGACCCACAAATTTCAAGAATTCAGCTGGTGTATACCTAAACCTGTATGCGTAGAAAAAAAAATATAACAATGTTGATAAAAAATAGCAAATAACAGCGGAATAATTGCACTTGCACTTTGAAACTTTTAAATCACTTAATTTATGCGAAATAAAATTCGATACTACGTCCTTACTTGTTTCGCTACATTACTCTCTATACTTTCTTCCCTGTCTGCTATAGACTCCTTGTAGATTTTCATCAACTCTTCACCTTTCTTCATATCTGATTCATTCTTCCATACAAGTTTCTCCTCATCACTCAGTTTGTTCGATGTAATTCTAGCAGCTATGTTTAGCTCCTTCATTGTTAATGTCTTTCCTTTTGCTTTTTGCTTGCGTGCGAAGTCAATCCTAGCATGATTTAATATGATTAGATCCATCACATAGACTTTTGATTTTATCATGAGTTTTTTAACTAATTCAAAACCCCAAATGTAAACAATAGTCCTTCTAAAAAGTCATATATATCTGTATGCAATGAAATCACTTGGTGACTTAACCGACTTTACTGGATTATTATCATAATGTTCCTCAACCTACTTGCCTTTATCTTTTGTACGATTCATTTTCTTGTTTCCCCGACGTCCCATAATATATTATTTCAAACTGTACCGAAATAAATGACATGACAAAAACATAAGAGATAATTTCAAAAACTTCCGCTAAGGTTTCTTCACAGAAGTGTATTATCACACTTCTGCTGTGAGGTTGTACAAAAAGTTTACACAGAGTTACAAAATGTTCACAAAATGTTACACTATTTAGAGACGGTTGATCTAACAATTGTTCCTACCCCACTCCCTAATATTAAATAGTCATGGAATTTCCAATGATGTTAACAGTAACAATGGATATTATGCCATTGCCAAAATTGCAATTGCTAAGTAAACAAAAATATAATCTGAAAGTAGTTCAAAAATTATGGGAATTCATTAGTATATAGCATTAGCAAGTCATTTCTACTTGACAACAGGGTATTGCAATCCATATCTTTCCAAAACACCATCTACAAGCAATAATCTAGACAGTGAGGATTGCAATATTAATAACTTATAAACTCCATTTGACTAGGATGCACAAAAAAGCTATTTACACTACTTCATTTTGACAAAACGCAAGAGCAAGTTTTGCACAGCTAGGACCATATACTGAAACTATTGCTACCATTCTGAGAATCCATAGTCACCTTTATTTATCTCCGTTCAGACCAATGTAACCTTTTTTAAATAATGTGTAACTCTACATTAACTACTTGTAAAATTTAACAAAGAAACGCAATTTGTTGTAAAGATATACAAGAAGTTTACATAAAATTACTAAATGTTCAAAAAATATTATGTTGTTCAGGGATAATTGATCTGACAACCTTCCCTGTCTCGCATCCCTCCAAACGATAGATATCATCATATTGCATAGTATATGAAACATCAAATTGTCTTACAACCCTAATGGTGTTCTATTACTTATTGGATAATCATTTACACATACTAAAAATTAAGATTCTTACCTGTTATGCTGTAAAATTTGCCAAATCCCGTCTTTATTAGGATATCTATTCACTGCATGAACAATTTTCTCAAATTAGAGCTCAAGTAAAGTTTGTCTTATAAGTGTAAGAGGACCAAGTTGCTAGTCAATTGAACTAAAATTACAGCTCATATAAAGTCTATAAAAATCATAACTCAACAAACCCCACACTTCATATACTAAATCGAGTAGTATATTTCTCTAAAGGCACAAGTGAAAATGCAAATTAGAAGAATATGAGTAAGCACAACAAAACTTACCTAATGAAAGGAACTCCTAGATAACCAGAAAACCATCAATTGAATAACCATACTTAGAGTTTATTCTTTACCATGTACACAAGTGAAAGAACACTTTGTTTTTTTACCATGCTTTGGGTTTGTAAACTATAATAACTAATATGTACAAGAAAAATATCAATTGATACAAACAACATAACAATATGTCATGCCAAATTTATTTTCCTAAACTCTCAATCCAAAGTCATATAACAAATTAATAGCAATAACAGAAGAATTGCTGATTAACTATGAATGTTGACAGTTATTGCATTCTCAGAATAGGTAGAGAAAAAAAGCAAGCAACTAATAAACTCTTTTGTCACCTTTTACATGATGTTCTTATATTCCCTACAAGAATTTCTTTTATATGCATTGAAATTTCTATTGTCCAAACAAATCAACAAATTGTAAGTTCAATTGCACCAGTTGTCACTTAACCCTAACTATCAATCAATTTTGTGATTTCAAATAAGAGACATTCATGGTCACCTATATTCCATTTATGCCCAATTAACTGAGTATTCCATCACAAAATTTTAACTTTCATGTGAACAAAATATGATAATGAGAAACTTGTGTAGGATGAAATTTTCAACAAAAGAAAGAATATCTCACAAATAAGAATTTCTGCTTAACTGTGAGTATTTACAGTCATCGTATTCTCAAAATAGGCAAAGAAAAGAAGTAAGCAACTAATAAAATCTTTTTTCACTTTTCACATGATTCTCTTATACTTACCACAAGAATTTTTTTTGTATGCGTTGAAATTTCTGTTGTCCTAATAAAGCAATAAATTGTAAATCTAATTAAATCACATGTAACTTAACCCCAACTACGAGTCATCGTTTTTTCAAATAGCAGACATTCGCTAAACCTATGTCCAAATCATGCGCAATTCATTGGGAATTCCATCTTTCTTTCTTTTTTTTTTCCTCAAAATTCCATATTAAATAGTGTATATATTATCTAAATAGTGTGTAAATATTTTTAGTTAATAGCCTGGTACATCTGACAAAAGATAAATTTGTTTGATCGTTTCAAGAAAATAGAGTTTCTTACCTCTATTAAATTTGAAATCTCCAACTATTGCAAGACCTCAAACCCTTGGATTATGCAGTTTCTCCCCCTAAAAAACACCATGGGTCTTCTTTAGGAGGAATTCAGGCAGTTGTTCCTTGATGAAATAAGCGTCCGGCTAAGATCCAATGAGGTTTTTTGGAGTTGTCCTCTCTACCATCTCAAAGCAGTGTCGGTCTTGTAGAGTGATTTTAGGAATTAGTAGACAATGGCCAAAAGGTTTGGGAAACAAAGAAAGTGATAAAAGGAACTTTTCATTAATAATTTGGGTGGGATAAATTTGTACTATGCAAACGCCGTTTGACGATGATGCTCCATCTGTTTCCATAATTTTATTTTTTTTATTACTACTCAATAAAACGTCACTATCCTACAATTTCTCATTTCACTTGCGACGTGGCTGTGTTTTCTCCCGCTGATTTATCTCAATTCATCTGGACCGTCAAAAGTTTCTGAAATGGTTGTTTGGTAACCGTCCTGGCCCTTGTCCGTTTCAGATGAGCTAAGAATGTTCATTTACGTTTTGGAGTCTTACACTGCTACTACGCTACTAGGTACATTTGTATTTATTTTGTAGGGATAATTTCAGAAACCTCCCCGGATGTTTCTAACACTTTTACGACCTTTCCTAAGGTTTTAAAAATTATACTAACTTCCCTTGTTAGGAATTTGGACCCATTACTTGGGATAATTTCATAAATGTCCCTTGAGATTTTCAACAATTACAGAGAGCTCCCCTCAAGTTTCAAAAATTATACTTACCTCCGTTGCTTTTAAGGTTTACGTAACAATATAGACCCAATAGCCTATAAATTTTCTTAAATATCCTAAAATACCCTTCTTCAGAGAACAAGACAAAACAAAATAAGATTTTAATTTTTAATTTCATGTACGTGTCATACTTACTAAAACAAACAAAATCCAGTGACTCTAACTCAATTCAAAATTCATTACTTGCTAATTCTTGTTTAATGCAATTCACTACCACCACTACCAATACTAAACCAAGAAAAGTAAATTTTACAT